TGCGCGCAATAGAGTGTTTGCAGTGGAGCCACCCGGCGCCACTGGGTGGCTCATTCGGCATGCGGTACCGGGTGGCTAATGTGATCTGGTGGCTGTTTGGAACCTGCCCACATGGTATGTATGAGCATGTATTAAGTGCATAATATCTTAGTGAATACTACCACCTCTACCTATGCAAAAGGCCTTTCTCAAGTCCAGACTTCATCATGCTTGCTCTCGGAGTTAGGAGAAGGGCTCGGGGAGGTAGTTTCTGGCACTCTGCCGGTGCTCACGTGTGTACGGGAACTCGTTTGTATAGGCATAGTGGATGTACAATGTCAACAATGAATTCTTTCCATGAGAAGCGGAAAGAAGCAGTTGAGAAGCGGTTTCCATGGAACCTCTACTGTAGAACCATGTGCCCTACATTGATCTACATCACTCTATGACTCTATGGCTCTCCTGGTTACAGACTCTATGGCCATCTTTGATATAGGGTACATGCCTATGTGCCTACGGCTCTATGGGACTCTCGGTGGTACCATATAGGCAGGTGGTGTTTCCCTGATGAAGCCTGCAAAATCATCACGGAGCATCCGAGCTGCCAGTTAATCAGCCCATTAGGTCATGAAATTTACGAGTTGGGTCTGAAACCAAGGGGGAAGCGGGATTCAAATTTCGTACATGGGGATGGGCCCATCAGTCTTTTGACATTTTTTTGTGGTGTTTCACATGTTGTTTGGCATTGTCGCGTTGTTCACCAAAATAGATTCGTGTTTTGTATAATGAGGAGAGAGGGAATCAAGGTGTTATTATCCACAGTCATTGAGACAATCATAGTGGTTAAGTGTGTGGCCAAAGGTTTTTGCCTGGATCAGCAGTTCCCTTTTTATATCAAAACTTGTTTCGGCGTTGTCGGATTTTGACTAAAAGTTGTCGGAGTTGTGTGGTTGTCGGGTTTTGCGGGCCGTTGCGGCATTTTTTTGGCATTTTCGCGTGTTGTACAACGCCACAACAAAAATGTCAAAAGTCTGATGGGGTCCGGGGAGGCCTGAAAATATATATATATATATATATTAGTATATATTGTCCAGAGATTTAAAATGGTGAATAGAGTCCTAGGGGTGCTACTAGGTTGTGAGAGACTCGCCATGCACTACGCTGATTAAAAGCAAAGGCATAGAGGAGGATGAGTGGAAGCCATTCGGATGGGAGAGAGCACTGAGAGGAGCCAAGAAATATGGTTGAATTCGGATGCTTGTGGTTCAATTATTGATGAAATGGATATTCATCCCATAAACGACTGTGAATATTGGACTGCGGGAAATAGAGAGAGGAGCCGATCTATTCAACCAGAATTCACCCTTGCTCTTCCAAAAATACTCGTCATCATCAAAAGTAAATACTAATTGCCTCTTATCGCCCACAGTATGTCGAAATTCTTGAACCAAATTGCATGACCATGTTCAGTGGGGAGTAGTCCCCACCTTTGCATTGACCACCGCTGTGCCGACCCCGGCATGTCATCAATAAATTGATTGATTTGTTGATATGTGATTTTGTTTCAAACACTCAAATGCAAGGTTCACGACATTGTCTCCTGGTAGGGAAAGAATTCGGAATGGTGTATATGAGTCCTGAGTACATGCCAGACAAGTTTAAGCTATTGAATGTTTTGGAATATGTGCGGGAAAGGCCCAGATTTTTGTTGTCAGACCAGACAACATTCTGCTGATGACTGATTGACCTTGTCTGCCTGCATTCATCGCCGCATTGGAGTCAAATTTGATGGGCAGCTTCCAGGGGGCAAAGGAAATTATCTGCAATGCATGATTATCGCCCTGCCCACCCAAAACTCGCCCTATTGTACTAGTTCTGACACACCGTGTGGTTTCGATGCTGAGGGCTTGGTGTGATAATTCTGTGGTGTTGTGGACAAGATGGACCCTGTGAGGTGCAGAGGGGATAGGTGAGTGCCTAATACAAGGTTGATTTGCCATTGGAATGGTTTCCTGTACTTTCTTTCCAGCGCTTTTGGCCAGACAATTGATGTTTGCCTTGATCTCAGGCCGCACGGCCGATGTTGCAAGGGCTCTGTACCACCCAATACAGTGATTCTTAGGGGGAGACTTCACTAAGTAATATTCAATACCCCAGGGCATATGGTGGTGAAAGGTAGTTGAGATTGGCCCATGGGTTACGAAATAATAAGCCAATTAGTATTTACTTTTGATGATGATGAGTATCAAACGCTGCCAGCACCCTAAAAAATCATCATACTCAGACTTGTTCCACATTATAATGAGCTGCTGTGCCCCATGTATGACACCCGCTTTATAGGCTCATAGCAGACAAGCCGAATGAAGGCCAGTTGACAGCAAATGCCAAAAATCGAACCAGAAATGAGTCTTGATTGCTGGCGCGGGCCGAGGTTACGCGATTTATGTCGTGGCGTCCTCGTGCTTGCCTCGCGCCTCCCACCATCCTCGTGCATTCAATACGCCCCATGTCCTTACTGCACGGGCATTCAAATCACTGACATGATACATGATTCCCATTCCTTCTTCTCTCCTCCCCTTTCTCCCTTTGGGTCTCTCCCCCGCATCCTCTGGAGCACTCATGCCCATGCTTCCTTGGCTCTTTGGATTCCTCGCCCTTCTGGGATATGTTGCGCGGCACACTATTGGCTCTGTGTTCCTGAGCTTGAAGTCATTACGGCGGCCAATCCGCGGCTCTGTGCTCCCTAACACAAACGGCGAAGCTCGGTCTACCGCCCCCGCACCGACCACTACGCTCCGTGGTCGCGGTCGTGGATGTTCCAAGCCTGGTTTTGGCCGTCGTTTTGGTTTAGGATCTGGGCTGTCTTTCGGACGGAGAGCGAAATCTCTTGGGCCCGTCCTACCTCGGTTTCACCCTCCCAACGCACATCATGGATCCGCACCTGCGTCTCCGGGGCTGCGGGTCCCAGGGAACGAAGACGCCATCCCGCTAGTCGATCTAGCAGGCAGCTGGGCCTCGCTGTCGTCCTTTTCCGACGGCGGTGCGTCTGGGTCTGGGTCTGCGCAGGAGCTCGTGGACATACTGTACTATTTCGATCAATTCGGCGGTCACGCGTCACGCACCCCCTGTGCCGCGACGAATTTTGGTCTCGGTCACTGGTCACGGCGCCCAGTGCCGAATGTAAAATCCGTGACATCCGGGCCAAATCTTCCTTAGAGGTGCAAAAAAGGCGGAATTTGCGGGTTTTTTTGTCTTGAGTGCCGAATTTTTGAGGATGTCACGCCAAAATTGGCTGGTTGCCGAAGTGCCGAATCGGTGTTTTCGGTCACGGGTCACAACCCATGCCGAATTGATCGAAATAGTACAGTATTGCACGAGGACACGCGCACTCGGAGTCGCTGGTGGACATATCGCATCCACACCCGTACGCTCACCCGCACCCGCACCCGCACCTGCACCCGCACTCGCACTCGCTCGTCGACCTATCGCATCCCCCCGACGACGGATTCGAGCTCGTCAGCGTCTCCGTCCCGCCCTCCCCCGCCGCCTGGGCCCTCGCGCACCCCGCGCTGCAGCCCACCCCCGCCGCGACCGCGCCCACCTCCCCTGCGGTCGGCTCTTTCTTCCCTTCCATTCAAACTTCTAATGATAATGATGACGATAATGATACCACGACCGCTACGACTCCGACCCCCGAATCCCCTGTCGTTGCTGCTGCTACGCCCGCTCCCGTACTTGTAGATCTGGAAAAGCCATCAGACGACACCGGAGATATCGATATCGCGAGGAGACCACAAACTCCGCCGCTGCAGCAACTCCCGTCCCCACCCATTTCTCCGCCGCCGACCGCCCGCTTTGGGCAGGCTGTGTTTCGCACGATGCAGGATGACGCGCATTTGCCCTCCTCGTTTGCTGTGGAGGAGGGACAAGAAGGGGACCTTGAACGTGACCTCGAAGAAGGCGGGGAGGATCTGTTTGCAGACCCGGTGCTCGTTGAGGGCGAGGTCGAGGTACGTTTTTTCTATATTTACGTGGAATTCCACGATACCGACGCTGATTTCTTTTTTTTTCTTTTTGTACGCCGAGGTTGTGGACGCAGATGCAGACACGGAATCCCCGCTCAGTGCACGACCACGGCGGGGAAAACCCGTTTGGGGACTCCGGGGTATATGGGTTAGAGGTATACCGAGGCCAGCTATGTATCAATTTGAACAAAAAATTTGGCTGGATGCTTGTGGTTTGAAATTCAACTATTATGTGCATAATCGGAACACGGTAAATTGAGAAGCTGGACCTGTGTAGAGACCACCGGAATGATTTTGTCCTCCCCGTTGGAATATCAAACACACTACCAAAAAGTGTTGCGTGAAGTCCTTCTAGCCGGGCGCCGGGAGTCGAACCCGGATGTACATACAGCCTATATAGCTAGCATTGGAAGGTGGAAACCATTGCTGCTGTGCGCCACGCACTACACCCGATTCAAAGCGGTATAAGTCGAGCGCAGGGAGAGCATGAATAGAACGGAATCAAATCGGAGAGTTGAAAGTAATTTGACCCAGAAATTTCGTTGGATTTTTGTGCTTCAATCCAACTACTCTGTACAAAATTGGGACGGGTTTGATTAAGCTGGGCCTCTTTAGGGATCACCGTGGATGTTTTGCCCGCCATTGGAGAAAATCAAACACCTACCCACAACACTGTACCAGGAGAGCTAGAGTCAAACCCGGGCTTGCCCCCTGTAACGAAGTGGAGATCGTCTGTATGCAATGCTACCGTGCCCCGCGCAGCACACCCGATTGATATATCCAGGTATGTACGTACCCTTCCTCCCCTTGACCTCGAGGAATAAAGACGGGGTCGACTGATATCAATGTCACTATTATATATTACTTTGGCAGTACAGATTTCGAAAGCTATGCCACCGGTACATACGCTTCGCGGAGGCTTTATCATCGAAAGACGGAGGCCCTGGAGTCCAAGTCTAAAATACACATAAAAAAACCCATCAAGTGAATCTAGCACTCGGGCGCCGGGAGTCGAACCCGGACTTGCAGCAATACGCTGATAGGTCTACGGAACCCAATACTGCCATGCACCATACACCACACCCGATTACAAGCAGTATGATTTGACAGGTAGAGCGTGCACATATGAGTAGAAGGGAATTACATGGGCCATGGAGAGGAGAGTCGAAGTGGCTTGAACAGAATTTGGTTGGATGAAATCGTGGTTCGAAATCCAAATATTCTGTGCATAATTGAGACAAGTTGAAGTGGGAACCTGGACTTGTTTTATTATGTCCTCCTTTACTCAAAGAAAAAAGCGCCGTGGATGATTTAGTTGGGTGCCGGGAGCCGATCCCGGTTTTACAGCATATTATGGACTTGGTAGCTTACCATGGGATATTGCCGTCCACCGTGCACCACACCCGATTGTTATATCCGCGTATGTACCCCAACTTAACCACCTCCTGGGATACAAAAATGGAGAAGCATGCGGAAGGCGGATGGGGTCGCACTGCGATAAATATATGATGTGATTATTTTGTCGTACCTGTTTTGAAAGCTACAGCATCCGTATAGTATACATTTTGTGGAGACTATGCCATCAAATTTCCGAGGCCCTGAATTCCAAGTCACTCGTGAAAAAAATGAGTCAAATTATTTATTCGGGCGCCGGGAGTCGAACCTTGACTTGCAGCAATACACAGGACAAAACATCGGCAAACACAGCTGATACTACGGTGCACCACGCGCAATTGAAAGTATTATAATTCAAACATGGGGAAGAGAATGATTAGGGAGACCAGAAGTAATTTGAAGAAGAAATTTGGATACTTGTGGTTCAAAATCCACCTGTTCTGTACATAATTCGGACAGGTCGATGGACCTGTTTAGGAACCACCGCGGGTATTTTTTTCCTCCCCTTTCGAAAATCAAACATACACCCAAAAAAATGCGGTGGGAGAGGACCTAGTCGGATGCCGGGAGTCGAACCCGGACGTGCAGCCTACTGTACAATTTCGTTCAATTCGGCGGTCACGCGTCACGGCCATTTTTTTTTATTGCGGCAGTAATTTTTCCTCGATTTATCGGAATTCTTTTGGATTTTAATTGTACTAAAATTCCGGGATTGGTGCCCGAGGGTTTGTGAAATCCTGATAATAGCGACATCCAAATACTTATCGAACACCCAGTGAAATCTTGGACAGCCTATCGAGCCGTATTTTGATATTTACTCCAAACTTAAGATGGGCGGGTGAGTGGGTGTGGTGCGGCGCATCGCACGATCGCACAAAAGGTATTGGTGCCCAACTTGCCTGCTATAAATCGGGTGTAGTGCGCGGTGCACAGTAGCATTTCATGTCGTGGAGCGTCACACCATTATAATCTACACATCAGGGTTCGACTCCCGGCACCCGACTTGGTCCTGCGCCTGGTACTTTTTGGTAGTGTGTTTGATTTTGAAAAGGGAGAACAAGATAACCCCCGTAGTCCGTGAACAGCTTTAATTCTGAATTCACCCTCTTCCAATTATGCGCAGTACAGTCAAAGCTTCATTGGATTCCGAACCCCAAGTATGCAACCAGATATCTTGTTCAAAAAAATTTCAGCTCCCCAATTTGATTCCCTTCTACTTACATGAACACGCGCTCTCTACCTATGTTTGAATTATATATACTGCTTTCAATCGGGTGTGATGTATGCTGCTCGGCCGTATCGGATTTTGCATTCTTTATGGCCATGGGTGCTGCGGCAAGTCCAGGTTCGACTCCCAGCGCCAGAATGACCAAGGCGCAGTGATCAATTTTTGTCTCATGAGTAATAAGTTGGAATTCAGGACCTCTGACCGTTGAAGGCGCAGTTTCCGCGAAGCCCATATACCGGTGATGTAGCTTTCGTTTGCAACTCCGTGCATCAAAAATAACGAGTCTCCCTCCAAGCTTCCCTAATGCGACTCGACTTTTTTATTCCTTGACGTCAACGCGAGGGTACGTACCAGGATATAACAATCGGGTGTGGTGCGCGGTGCACAGCAGCGCTGCTTGCCAAGTTTCGCCCTACCACTAAGGAGGCTGTAGGTCCGGGTTCGACTCCCGGCACTCGACTAAAAATATGTGGGAACAGTTTTTGTTTGATGTTCGAAAGTGGAGGGCAAAACAGCCACGGTGGTCCAGGTCCATTTCAACTTGTCCGGCTTATGCACAGAATATTCGGATTTTGAACCACAATTGCTCCTTTGACTCTCTCCAAATGGTTTTACTTCTACTGATATGAGCATGCTCTATCTGAGTGCAAATTCATACCGCTTCTATTCGACTACCGGCGCCCAAATAACCACCCCCAATCTGGTTATTTTTGATTTTATTTTGTGAATGACTGGTAATTCAGGACGTCAGAAATTTGAGGATGTATCTCCCGGAAAACGTATGTATCAGTCTCTGAAATGCATACCAAGAAAATAATCGCATATCGATATTAACGCGACCTCCATCCGCCTTCTGCATGCTCCCGAAGTGCGGCTGGATTTTTTTATTCCTCGACATCAAGGCGAAGGTACTTACCTTCATATAACAATGGGGTGCGGTGCGCGGTGCACGGTATTGAATGCAAAAGATTTCGACCATAGGCTGCAGGTCGGGGTTCAACTCCCGGCACTCGACTAGGGTTAACACCAGGTTCTTTTGGTAGTGTATGTTTGATTTTTGAAAGAGCCGGAACGGGAGGACAAAACACCCACGATGCCGCTTGGGGAGGCCTATTGAAGGCGCTTCAGTAGTTCTGTTGAAGGTGTCACACTCTGTTGAAGGCGCTGCAGGAGATCGAGTACTAGTCAGTTATAACGAATGGAACGAAATTGTATCAAGACACTGTAGTTCCCGGCATTTCGAAGGTGTGGGTTGTGGCATAGTGGCAATGCATTTTAGGCCGATATACTATTACAACTCAGTACGTTCCGAAAGGGGACCTAGCAGAGTATAGTATATTATCCTGAGTCGTATCATAGGCAAAGAGAGGCACCAAGAAACAGTTCGACGCAAGGGATGTAACACATACGGTCGAAGGAGCATTGAATGGTCTTGAAGAATTACATTCATTCACAACATCGCCGTTGATGGTCTGACTATTAATTCTCCTTCTCTCTTTCTTGCTTGGCGACTACAGCAATTTCAGGACATCTCAGGCCGTAATACAATGGCCGAATAATGAGGGTTATATGATGGAAACACTGCATTCAATGTCTGCTCCATCGGTAACCCCCGCATTGCTGCGGGGATCATGGCCAGAATCGGAGGACCGGCGCTTACAAGGCGCTTATGTGCATATCAACCGTCTGGGCAATGCTGTTTGTTTGATTAAAATGGGACAGGCCGCCCGAAACCTGCTAAACATCTGGCAGTCAGTATTTCACCCTCCTTATAAAATTACCTCTGTCTGTCCGTCCGTCTGAAGCTCAAACTCCGATACTCCTTGCACATGCCGAAAGGATGCCAGGCCTCGGAGTCCGTGTTTCCGCTTCTGCCTCGGTAACTTCCGTCTTCTCCGCACATGCCGAGAATGCCGACTGCTGTGGAGTCAACCCTTTCCCATGTTTCTCAAATATAGCGCCCATGGTCATGCGGGTACTTATCACCGCCTTTCAACCGCCAATATCTCGCTGGTCTTTAATCGCTGCACCATTGTCTTCCCCGCTAGAATCCCTTCAGCGAAGTTACTAGATGCCAGGGAATTCACAAGACTTCATTAAACTCGAGTTCTCCCTCAGACTCTTTCCCACAGCATGAACAGATCTCTTCAGAGACTCATGCGCGTCACTTTCCCGCCCATCACCCTCTTCATAAAATAGCGTCAGTCCGAAACCATTTCAGACTTCGCTATTAACACTCTACCACCCCGAGCCCGGCCGCTCAACCGCGCTGCCTCAACCGCGCTCTTGTAAGTCTTAAAATTTCTTTGAAGGAACGAAGAACATTAGTGAGACTCGAATTTATTCAGATAAGCCCACGGGGTTTTTTTTCCGCGTTTGTGCCACCAACAGAGATACATTCGCTTTCTGCGGGAAATAAGCAAAATTAGGCAGTGTGAGAAGCAACATGTCGGAGGACGGCGGGCACCGCCACATACGTGATCGTTGTGCGGACTTTGACGCTCGTGCACAGCAGTGCCTTACTGCTTTTAACTCTTCATGCATCAGGTACTTTCTCTCTTCAAAAATGCACACTGGATGCCCTTCTCTGGCTCAGGAACTCTGGAACCACATTCTGTCCTTCTTGTGCGCCCGCACCGATCTCAAAGCATGCAGCGTCGTCTCCCGAGCCCTCTGCGCCGCAGCCCAGTCTCAGCTCTTTTTCTCAATCACTATTTGCCCGTCGCGGAAGCGGCGGCGTGGCGGGCCCCCATTTGACTTCACCCCGGCCACAGACGAAGTGAAGGCCTGCCGGCGCCTACGCGAAATCCTCATCGAATCCCCGCACATCCGCCCACATATCCGGCGCATAGAGATTCTCCTCCACCCAGATGTGCTTACGGAAATAATCATCATGGGGCTCCCTCTCGTGCAGGAGATCCAGTTCCGCACAAAGACATTCATGGCTCGCGTCGAAAACAACGCAGTCGCGCTCGCGCAGCAGCTCATGGAGCTCCCGACCGTGCGGCGCGTGGAGCTGCGCTCGACGTCGCAGACGCGCGCGTTCTTGTCGTGGTTCTTCGCCGCCCCGCCCCTGAGGCTCGAGACGCTCGAGATCTCGATGAGCGAGCTGTACTGGTCCGAGGACGGCGACGAGGACCCGGAGCCTGTGGCCACGCGGCGGCAGATCGACCATTTTCATTTGATACATTCGCCCACCATCGCACGGTGGCTACTGCATACCTCGTGCCCGTTCGACCTCACCCGTATCACGCACGCTGATATTTCTTCCTCAATGTGCGCCGACGTCGGGCGCATCCTCACTAAAGCCAAGCGCTCGCTACGGCAGCTAACCCTCGCTCCAGGTAAGTAAATTCTCATTATTGTCAATGGTTGCTCATTCTGATGATTGTTGACTTTTTCAAAATAGGTGACGTGGACGAATGCGTGCCCCTCAGCATTTTTCCCGATCTCTCGCAGCTGCA